CCCCAAAACCCCAAAACCCCAAAACCCCAAAACCCCAAAACCCCACGATAAAATATGTAAGTTGAAATAATAAGACTGCCATTATTCAGCAATAATTACCACAAATGTTATCAAGATTCAATGATTCCTACATCTCATTAATCATTCTCCTTTTTATCTTCTTCGTTTTACTGTTCCTAAAATTTGTTGATCGCAGACGGAAGGTTTGTTCTCGAAAATATTTGGAGAAAAAGCAAGATGAGGTAAACTTCCATTTTCACCTTTCAGGTGAAAATGGAGTTTTTCTGAATGAAACTTCCAAAGATATTGAGAGCAAACCTACTGAAGAGATCATTCGTGAGCGCGAGATTCTGGCTAGGAACACAACTTTCAATAAAAAAGTAGGCAAATTATTTTTCGACAATGATTCAGCAGAAACATGATGTATTGAAAATTCTGAAGCAAAGATCGCCCAGGCTCCTGTTATCAGCAAGAAGCCAAGGCTGATACCTTCTCGTTGCAAGTTGTTAACATTAGAGGAATGAATCCTCTCGCTAAATACTTATAACTGCGAGAAGAAGTCGATTTCCAGGTTGGTGTGCCTTACCGATAGAAGCAGTACAACTACGGAGTCAACTCCTCATAAAAGAGTAAGGTTCAGCACCAAGGTAGTGGAGGTTGCTCCCCTTAATTCCTAACCTATAATTTTTATATGTAAGAGAACTCGTACTATACCTATTCCCTGTTTAACTAAAACTTGGAAGGGGTAAACACATCTAAAGAATTCTTCCAACCAATTTTCTGATTATTCTTGTTAAAAATTTCTATCCATAACTTATGGTTATCAAGGTTTCCCCTAAAGTTTTTGAGACCAAAGATAGCCTGGGAGGTGTACTAACTTCATTGCTAAAATTGGAGCATGAAAAGACATTTTGAACTATTCTTAGAATCAAAAATTCTCAAATGTTCTGGAACAAATATTGTATGGCACCCATTCAATCTAGTGAAATCGAACATTTTTTTGCAATTTTGCAGATAATGCTGAGTTTGATTAAAGTGATCTCATTTCAAGAGCAGAAATTTCGGACTCATAAACCATTTAGTCATATATTTTTAACCATGGATTAGTGACCAAGTATCTGATATCTCCCTCTAAGAAGGGAAGTATGGCTTAGTAGTGTTGAAAATAGACAGAACTTTCCATTTTTAGCTGGTTCAAAGATGTCTAGCTCTAAATCTATTATCTAAATCGTACTACTCATGAAAAATGGTTAGAAAATCTTTTAATAATAGGATATACGAGGACAACCATCCTTCTCTAAAGGGGTTTTGGGGTTTTGGGGTTTTGGGGTTTTGGGG